TCCCATTCTTTTTCTTTCCCCTTCCTTCCTTCCTTCTTTCTTTCCTTCCTTTCTTCCTTCCTCCCATTCTTTCTCTTTCTCCTTCCTTCCTTCCTCCCATTCTTTCTCTTTCTCCTTCCTTCCTTCCTGCCTTCCTTCCTTCCCTCCTTCCTCCCATTCTTTCTCTTTCTCCTTCCTTCCTTCCTTCCTTCCCTCCTTCCTTCCTTTCTCTTTCAACTCCTATCTGCCATACACAAGCAAGCTTCAAATAAGATTTCAAATTTCTTTAGTCTATTGTTTAAAAAATAGGAATCTTAGCTCTACAGCAGTTATTCTCAGACTTCCCTGTGTTGCAGAATCCCCTGGAGAGCTTGTTAAAACCAGGCTGTTGGGCTCATCCCCAGACTCACGGGATTCCAGAATTCTGGGGTGGGGACTGAGAACCTGCATTTACAACCATCTCCCCCAGGTGATGCTGAAGCTGCTGGTCTGGGAATCACACCCTGACAGGTCAAAAGAGAACTCACAAAAGAAAAGAATACATTTCCTATTGAATACCCTCCTCAATGGCACTGTTTTCCTGCTTGTTGAGGACGGAGCCCTGCATTTTTTTTTTTCTTTCTCAAAGATTTTATCAAAGGTCTTTACAGATTAAAATCCAGTCTCCAGATCCAGCTACCAAAGGGACCCTGTTATGCTGTGGGTACATCTCTGTTCCGAGATGGGGGTGGTGGGCAGTATCTCATCTTTGGGTTCCACAATGCTCCCATGATCCAACAGGGGCTTCTTAGGGCCAATCTTACCACTTGGGTCCCAGGGAAGCATGACCTTCACTTTGATGCCCAGCACACCCTGTCTGAACAGCACATGGTGCACAGCAGTGTCAACATAGTTCTTAACAGGGTCCCCACTGTGAATCATCAGGCATCCCCAAACTTCATGGATTTAGCCCTCTGTCCTCGGAGTTTCCCAGATACCATGACCTCACCGCCTTTGGCCCCACTGTCCACGCACACCATGGCAGGCCCTCCACACAGCGAGGCCTCCTAGGAGTTTGTAACGCAGAGATTCTGCCTGGGCAACAGCACCCAGACCTCTTGTGGCCACCTTTTTGGCACAAAGTGCTACACTGCCCTCAGGGAAACCAAACCTCTTCTGAACCACAGCAGTCAATTCCCGGATCCGCCGGCCCTTCTCACCAAGAACATTCTGCGTCCTGGTGGCCAAGACAATGATTTCTGTCCTGGTTGGCGTAACTTGGACCTCAACCCCGGAGTAGCCATCTTCAGCCAGCTCCCGAGGGAGGAACTCGTCCAGTTCAGCTTTGAAGATGCCATCAGCGACAAACTTCCCCTTCTTGGAAAGTTGCATCGCCATTTTGCCGCCATGCGCCATAGAAAGGAAAGGCGAGCCCTGCATTTGTATTTTGCTTTGGGCCCCACTAATTCTGCAGCCAGTCTGGAGGACAGTGGAAGAGCAGCCACAGGGGTAAGGAGCCCAGAGGCTGTGTTTACAGGGATGAGTCGGGAATAAAGAAGGTGCCATCCGGGGCCATGGCCAATTCTGGCACTGTGCTAGGACAGACTGATGCAAACGGGCTGCCTCCAACACGGGAGGAGGCTGGAGGCCACCACACTTACCTGCAGCTCTGAGCTCCCCGCCCCAGACCCCCTCTCCACAATAAGCCTCTTTAAGGATAGAGTTCAAAAGCCAGACCCAGCACCTACTAGCTACGTGACCTTGGGCAAGTTGCTGACTTCTCTGTGGCTCAGTTTCCTCATGCACAAAACGCAGATGATTAAAGTATCTACTGCTTCGGTTAGGAATGGGGGTGAAGGAGTGGGTGGGACTGGAAGGGGTTAGCAGAGGGAGACTCAGGATGATGGTACAGTTAAGTGTCTTGACTGCGGTGATGGTTTCGTGCAATAAAATTGCATAGTGCCCCCCTCAACACACACACACACACACACACACACACACATGCACACACACACGAGTCCAGGTATAAGTGGTGGAATCTGAATGGGCTGTGTGGATCGTACCAAGGTCTGTTGCCTGGTTTCAATATTGTCCTGTAATTACGTAGGATGTTTCCCTGGAGGAGGCTGGGGGAGGGTGCACAGGACCTCACTGTACATTTACATTTCTTTTCAACTGCCTGTGAATCTAGAATTATTTCAAAATGAAAAGGTTTTTAAAAATACCTACCCACCCCACAGTGCTGTTGTAACATTGTGCAGCTATAGCTTAGGGTAATATCTGTGTTAAGTGTTCCATGAAGTTCGACAAGTAGTATAACAGGGTGTCTGCAAGATCAAGAAACAGAAGATGAACTTATTTTTAAAAAGTATGTTGGTAACCTTCCCAAATAGTATATTCAGTCTGCTTTTCTTCAACCACCAGACACCTTTTCCGATAAAATGCCTCTGAATTTAAAGCAATGGCTCCAGTTGTTCATCTTTTAAAAAGTATGACAATACCATACATTCTCCAGATTTTGTAACTTTTTGGACACTCAGTGGTGTGCTTGTCGATGGACATTGTTTCTTAGAAGTGTTTCATCTGACAATGCATTAAGATTATTATCTGAAAATCTGCCCAGCATGCTATTCAACGGTTTACTTTCACATTTCCTGACTTTGTAGACACCTGCGTGTGACTCTCCTGCCCCTCATGAGTCTGCCCACCTTCTGTGTGGTTTGCCTCTCGCACATCTGGTCCCAGACATGTTTGCCGACTGACTGAGTGAAAGACCACTCACCAAGGAAAACCTGCTAATTCCTCCAAGTGTAACTGATCATGTTCCTGGGGCAGCAACAGAAATTAGTTCCTCATGTTAATATTTTTCTGCAGGACACAAGCAACGTGAGATTCTTTTTTTTAAGGTTTTATTTATTTATTTGAGAGAGAGAGGCAGGGGGAGGAGAAGAGGGAGAGGGATAAGCAGACTCTGTGCTGAGAACGGAGCCCAGCGCAGGGCTCAATCTCACGACCCTGAGATCATGACCTGAGCCAAAACCAAGCGTCAGATACTCAACCTACTGAGCCACCCAGGCGGCCCACAACATGAGATTCTTAAGGTGATTTGTTGAGTTTCTTTTTAGACAGGGAAGTGAGAAGAGTACCCTACCACGTATTGGCCTAATCTTCCTAACACCCTGGTGAGTGGACGTAATGTCCCTGTCTCACAGAAGTGGAAACTGGCACAGAGGGGCGACTTGTCCAAGGTCACAGAACTAGTAGAAAGTGGAGTCCAGGCTCTATGCCGCCCCAGGGTGTCACCCTTACGCAGGCAGGTGCTAGGTACCAAAGCTCTGAGACATGGAGGGGCACAGACAGAAATTCCTCAGCTAGAGATACCGTATCTGATAGGGAAGAGGCAAACGTTCAGGAGGCATGCTCCGTGCCAGCTCAGAACAAAGATGTTGATAAAATTCTTTACAAGTGATCTCAGCGAGACTAAATCTCCGGATAAATTAAGATCAGGGGAGGAATGTGGCAGGGAATTAGTGGGGAGGGGGTAGTTGGAGGGCCCAGGTCACCTCCAAAAAGCCAAGCCCAGGTACAGAGGCTCCTCCAATGGGGAGCCTTCAGCTTAGGAACTTTCTTAGACAAAAGGCCAATCTTTAGTCTAGATCATTCCTACACCTGGTGTGGTCCATGGACCTGCTGCATCGGCATCACCTGGGAGCTTGTTGGGAATGC